AGGACACACAGGAATGAGTCAATTACCTAGCATGGGTGCTGGGAGTCTCGGGTTTGAATCCAAGCAATCTGGCTCAGAGCCAGCACTCTGAACCACTAAGCTGCCCTGCTTCACAAAGGGCAGCTGAGGAGTGGACAGGGACCAACTGAGACAGAGCCCTGGAGGCTGCATTAAGGCTTATGGTCTTTTCCTAAGATGAGTAGAAAGGTTCTTGAGCAGGACAATAATATAATTGAGTTTGTGTTTTTAAAATGAGATTGGATGCAATGGGAGAAGGTGAGGGGTCTGGGAGGCTGCCACAATGGCCCAAGCAGGAGATGTTAGTCCCTAGCCCCTTAGATAGGTGAGACCCTTCTGATGGAGAGAGGTGGGTGGATCAGGGAGGTAGAAGTGACATAATTTGGTCATAGATCAGGTATGGAGGGTGGAAAGAGAGGGAGATGCAGGGAGAAGGCTGTACTCCCAGACTCCAGGCTTGCCCAGCCTGGGGGATAATGGAGCCATTTCCTGGGACAGGTCAAACCCTGGGGGAAGGCCAGGTTTATGGAAGAGCAGGTGTGGGGAAAAAGGAAGTTCCTATAGCCAGGATCCTCACCTGCCCCTAAACAACTTGATGAAGTAATTAGCCTACTGTTAGGCTACTGCTTCCACACCCATAGGCAATAAGCTATTATTGACTGAGTTATTTTAAGAGTTCTGTCCAGTGCTCTGGGAAGTCAGAGGTGGAGGTGGATTATGGACCTGCAGACTGCTGGATGCAGACATAATTCTAGTGTTTGACCTACTGCCATGAGAATAAACCTCTTACCCTAAGAACGTTCTGTTGTCATTTCTCAGGCTCACTGAATCCATAGTGAACTTGCCCAGGGCTGAAACCCTCAGGCAAGGCAGCATGAATTCAGTCTGAGGACTGTCCCAGGCAGATGTCAGGTTGTCACGGGGACACAGGAGCCTGGAGCTTCTGGGAGCAGTCAGACCTGGTGCTATTGATGAGAGTCCTTGACACTCTTGAGTGTGGGTGACATCATTCAGGGAGGGAGGGAAGGGGCTGGCCCCCAGGAGAGAGAATGAGATGCCATGGCCAGAGTGGGAGGCCAACCAGGAGAATGCGGTGGGGTGCCAGCCAAGAGGAAGGGAATGTTTCCAAGGAGAGACCATAGCCAGTGGAGGACAGGATGGGCTCCCAAGAGGATAATTGATGTGAGGACCCCCAGATGTCCAGCAGCTATCAATGTGGGGTCTGTGGACAAAATGAAAGATCCTGTGGCCAGGATTCTCACCTGGCCCTGGTTGGCTAGCTTACTACACAGGTGTGGGCAATGCATTGCTATTGACTCTATATAAAGAGCTCCACCCAGTGCTCTGGGTGACATAGTGGCACAGCTGCAGGGCTGCAGGAGAGCAGTGCTGTAGTGGATTACCTGGGCGCCACCCGACCCCCTCCAGGACTGAAGCATGAATTCCCAGCTGCGGGAGGGCTGGTGGCTGACAGCTCTCATCTGAGCCTCTCTCTGGAACATGCCCTGGGCTGAAGAGAGCCTCTTTGCCCAAACTCGCAGGCCCTCCCCCACCAGGGCAGCCCTCATCCAGTGACTGGCAGCAAGGTGGTTTAAAGGCCCGGCCCCCTTGCCACAACATAGGACAAGGCTGAGGCTCTTCCAGCCCCAGCGTTTCCTGTGGGGTCGGCTGAGGCCTGGGGTGAGCCTGCGTCAGAGCTCAATTTCTCCCTCAGCCCAGTGCTGTGGCCTCAATCCTCCACAGGTGTCAGTCCTGAGAGCATGCCCCAGTGAACTTCCAACATGCTTCTCTCCATTTCCTGGGGAATTCCACCTGGGACAGTGATTAAATGAGAAAAAGAAAAGTAACCAGTGATGGTGGATTCTTTCCGGAACAGGGAGATTAGCTGGATCCTGGGGTACCAGGGGGAAGAAGGCAGAGGATGACGTGGTAAGGGAGCTCTGAGCTCTGATGGTAGGATGCTGAGGCTTGCCATCACTTCTGTGAGGTTAAGGTGGTCGTTTGGAGAGAGAGGGAGGGAGTGAGGGAGACAGGGAGAGAATGTGGGGAGCGCCTGGGGTGTGAGAAGTACACCTCAAACGGTTATTGCAGAAAGCAGGAGAGAACAGAAAGTCTCATACATTGCTGGAGGGCATATAAAATGATATAGAAAACTGTAGCTCAATCGCTCAACAAAAACTGTGGGTTGACAGTTCCTCAAAAAGTTAAACATAGAGTTACTGTATGACCCAGAAATTCCACTCCTAGGTATATACCCAAGAGAATTAAAACATATACTTATGGACTGAATTGTATCCACCCCAAATTCATATATTGAAGTCCTGCCCCCCAGTATGAGGGTATTTGGAAGTGGGACCTTTCGGAGATAATTAGTAGATGAGGTCATGCAGGGGGGACCTGCCATGCTGAGATGAGTACCCTAATAAAGAGGAAGAGGTGAGATGTCTCTCTCTCTGCTGTGTGAGGACAAAAGCAAGAGGCAGCCATCAGCAAGCCTGGAAGAGGGCCCTCACCAGAAGCCGGCCATGCTGGTGCCCTGATCTGAGACTTCCAGCCTCCAGAACTGAGAGAAATAATTTCTGTTGTAGGCACTGAGCCTGTGGTATTTTGTTATAGCTGTGCAAGCTAAGACTGTATGTCCACCTAAAAGCCATGTACATGAATATTCACAGCAGCATTATTCATAATAGCCAAAAAGTGGAAACAACCCAAACATCCATCGGTTAATAAATGGATTTTTAAAAGTGTGGTATATCCATACAATGGAATGTTACTTGTTGGCCAAAGAGAACGACCCACTGGCACAGGCTATGACGTGGATGAACCTTGAAAACATGCTAGGACATAGCCTAGCGGGGAAGGGATCGAAGTGTGGAAGCACAATTATGATACAGTGAGGTGGGCTGACTGAGGCACGGGTGACACACTGAGGCCGAGAGGAAGAGGAGGAATTAGCCCCGTGACAGGGAGGAAGGCAGGGCAGCTGTCAGCCCAGAACACTGAGCAAGGAGCATCCTGGAGTGTGCCCGGAGCTACAGGCCTGGGCACGGCTGGTGTGCAGACAGCTGGGAAGTGAGGCTGGGAAGGGCCTCGGAGGCCACACACTGAAGTGACATGGTCAGAGGGCTGCTGGGTGGAGGATGGACGGGGAGGCAAGGAGCCCATTTGGAGGCTTCTGGGTCATCCAGAAAGAGACCAAAGGGAGGAGGCAGATCTGGGAACCATTTAGGAGGTGGAGGACAGGGACCTGGTGGTATACCAGATATTAGGCGGGAGGAGACTCCAGTAAAAGGAACTTGGGTTGACAGAGAGCAGTCCGGGCTGGAGACAGAGGTGTGGGTGACACTTGTGCAGGCTTGGTGACTGAGTCCCCAGAGTGGAATGGACGAGGGCTCTCAGGGAGGGTGGCAGGGAGAGCGGTGGGCTGAGGGCACAACCCGGAGTCATCACTATTTCCAGAGTGGGCAAAGCCCGTGATGCTGCTGCAAAGGAACAGCGTGTCTCTTAGAGGGCAACAGGCAGTTACGTGTCCACTCACACAAGGGTTAGGCATGTCTAGCGGACTTAGCAACAAGGCAGGCACTGACGATCTTTTGTAGGGCAGCCTCAGAGGCAGATGTCAGGCAGCAAGAGGGGCTCTGCTAAGAGAGGGCCAGCTTGGGGAGAGGGCCTCTGTGACAGCCTTTATCATCTGTGCTGTCACTAATATTAGGTCTACCCTCCTACCAGATGGCATTTTAAGAGGGCTGGTACTTCTTCTACATAATTATGTCTCCAGAAAATCCAATTCACTACAAAGATATTCAGTGTGCCCCTACAGGGCTCAGCATGCAACTGTGCTGGGTGGTCAGAATTTATGGCTGAGCTCAAACTTCTGGCAGGTGCACAGTAGGTCCTCAGACTGCATGAATGAAGTTCTGAGCAGGCTCTACCACTTATCGGCCTTGTGACCTCAGACGAGTCACAATATTGGCTTTCCAGGAGTTTGTTCAATGGCAGTAAGCAATTTTTAAAGTGACAAAACATGATGATTCAGGGACTTCTGTATCTGCAGCTACATTACATGCCTGCTGAGGCCTTGGCAGGGTCAGAAACCTAGGGAAGGTGTGGGAACAGAAAGGGGTGCTGATGCTTTCCAAGATGGAGCCTCCTGCCTGCTGTCCTTTGGCAGTACATTCATTGCTGTTCACAAGGCCCTGCACATACTGTCTCCTGCCAGTCTCTCCAGCATCGCTTTGCACCCACACCCACTGGCTTTGTGGACTCACAGTGGTCTTCTCAGATTTTGTCCTCCCATGAGCCTTCCTGCTTTAGAGCCTTTGCATATGTTGTTCCCTCTGACTAGACACCCTTCCCTTAATTCCTTACCTTGTTGACTCTTCACTCCTTAGTACTTGGCTCAAATGTGGCTTCTGCAGAGGGATCCTGGGTCCCTGTGGGGCAGTTATACTCCTGTGACATGCCTCTGTACTTTTTCTTAGCTCATATACAAATAGTTAACCAAGGAACCAGTTGTTTAACATGTACCTACTGTTTTTAGACCCTGTTCACCTGCTTTAGAAGCCTCTGCTCTCCACCTTCTCTGTCTCTGCATCTCTCCCCAGGATGAGGAATCTCTGGTACCCTCTTGGAGCCTAGGTCCTTCTCTTTAGACCATAGTCCTGACATGTTGGGACCCCAGAATTTCCTGCCCAAATGACCCCAGGCCCATTTCCAAAAGGGTGGACCATGTGGGGTGGCCAAGAGGCAGCAGGCTGCAGAGGGTATGGCAGTTTGTATTTGTGGACTGGAGTGTCCACATGTGAGCATGTGACTCTCCCCTGGGGTAGGATGGCTCTGCGGGTGGGAATACATGGTGGCAGGCTCAGAGCAGAGCCAGCTCTTCTTAGGCCAACACATCTGGGGCTGGAATTTGGAAGAGTCAAAGAAGTTTAAATTAGAACCTGGCCTTCCAGGTTACGATGAAAACATATTTATCAAAGTAGGAGAATAGAACATCCTTTATTAAACAGTTGTTAGCTTGATTTAGAACTTTACAATATTTCAGCGTTTGGTGTGAGGCCTCCACTTGTGCTCCTGCCCCAGCCCTGCTGGCTTTCGGGGTGGGCTTGGCCAGCTTCGTCTGCAGGACCATTAGCTCCAGCAGAGAGGCAGCATGTGCAGTACCCCTGCCCCAGAGCCCGTGCCTGGCACAGAAGAGCAGATAATAAATATTGGCTGTGAGAGACAAATGAGATGATCCAAGTAAAATGCTTGGCATGGTGCAAATGTCAATAAATATTAGCTATTATTTGTTGAATAAATGGGTGGGTGGGTGGGTGGGGCAGGGGGCTGAGCCCCATAAACTGAGGTGATTTGTGTATGAAGGGAAGTGGGCTGTTGACCCCAGGGTTCATGCTTCCTTTCCAGAGTTTGGGCCACCCCGCAGGCCTCTCCAGGCAGGGTACTAAGACAAGGAGGCAATGTGGATACCGGTAGCTGTACTTGATAACCGGGATGCTGGGAGGGGCTAGGGGCTCTTGCCTGTGCTACTTCCCTTCCCCTCAGAGGAGAACAGCTGGGGCAGATTCCCTCTTTGCCTGCAGGGACCTCCACAGCCTCGGACAGAACCTACCCAGCTGTCTTTTGCTTTAGCTGTAAGTCCCTGCTAGGGTGGGATGGGGTCTGGGGTAGCTGAAAGACTGATTTCCCTCTCACAAGCAGCTGTGCTCTGGTGTGAGAAGAGGCTGAGCTGGGCCCTCAGATCACCCGCTGGACCCTGAACAAGTCACTTTACCTCTGCAAGCATCAGTTTCCTCATCTGTAAAACAGGATTGTGTGTGGAAATGGTGCATGGCAAGTGGCAGGTGCAGGGTACACATTCAGAGAGTATGAAGAACCCTTGCACAGAACACAAGTGGACCAGGGAGGGCAGAGGCCTGGAAGAGGAAAGCAAATGAAAATGGTCCACTGCCAGCCAGCAAGCGAGCTGCGTGGGTGTTTCAGCCAAGGCCGAGGCGGCGAGGCCGGCTCAGCTGCCGGCTCTGGAGCAGCAGATCAGTCCTGTTCCCACAGCAGTTAGGCTGTCGGGTGCTGCTTCAGGACCGGCACGGGGCTGGGGCCCCACAGGGTTTCCCTGAAGTCCCTGACCAGGTGCAGGCCTGAAGAAGCCAGGAAGCCCCCTCCCGAAGTCCTCCCAGCCCGGGCCATCCAGGTACACAAACCCTCACGACCCCATTCTCACACATGCACAGTAGGCGGTGCTGTAAGAAAGAACAGAACCTAATTAACCCCCAAGCAGGACATGCCGGAAGAAAAAAAAAGGAAAAAAAAAGAAAAATCACATTTTGCGAACTGTCCACCAGGGGTCACCATACTGCATCGAGGGGTGCAGAATTCACACCGGCTTGCTGATGGGGGCCAGAGGGTCTCAGAGACAGTCCAGTCGCGCGTGGCCTCCAGCCGTCCAGCTCAGGTTGCCGCCCCAGTCCCAGGTCCGCAGTGCCGGCAGCGCAGTGGCGGTGGGGGCCCACGGTCAGTGCGGCAGGAAGATGTCTGAGCACTGCTGCAGGATGAGCTCCACCACCTGGTTCTGGAACACCATGGTCATGGGCATGCTGGTTTCCTCCGTCTCGGGCCGCAGCAGCGTGGGTCCAAACACTATGGCCACGCTCTGCACGGACATACGGTTCTGTTCACCATGCTCGATCACCCTGTAGCGGGGGTAGGGGCAGGTCGGGTCAGAGCCCAGAGCAGGGGGCAGGTGCAAGGGGTCCATTCCCGGCTGGCCAGCTCACCGGCACAGGTGCTGGAAGAGCAGCCGCAGCGTGTCGTGGTTGGGTGCGGGCAGCGAGTGCACCAGGTCTCGCACACAGCGGCTGCGCTGGGCCTGGTCCTGCAGCTCTGGGGGAGGGAAGAGTCAGAGGGGAGGGAGGGCAGGAGGGTCGGCTCCGCGAGGGGAACTCCCAGTAGGGGATCCCAGCCAGGCGTGTGCCAGAGGCAGGCCGGCTACACCCCTACCGCACCCGCCCACCTCCCCAGGTGCTCACTGATGGCGGTGATGAACTGGGGGAAATGCGAGAAGGGGAAGAGAGGCTCAGGCAGCTCCCGGAAGAAGAGCTTTAGGGCGCCGGTGATAACGTGGACGTCCTCCCAGCGCCCGTCGTCCAGGTCCAGACGCTCATCTGCAGCAAGGGGAGAGGAGAGGAAGAGGTCTGGTCACCCTGTGGGGCCTTCAGGCCCTGGGGTCGGGGCTGGGGGCAGGCCTCACCGTGGTCCACCTTATAGCGCAGCTTCTGGATGGTGGCCAGGTTTCCACTGATGCGGTACAGGCCATCGATGTCCAGTCCTGGGGCAGAGGGAGGCGCTGACTCCGGGTTTGGTGGGATGACCCTGGGCTTTTGTGATTCTCACTAGGGGCTTCCATTCTTTCCCCCTTGACCCTGCGCCCACCCAGGGGTGTCCATCATGGGGTCCTGCCAGGAAGCCTTCAGGCGCCTGCGTGCCCCGCCCAGCCTTCTGCCACGCCTACCCCGGGCCTCGACGGTGCGGATGCACTGCTGCACGAAGCTGGGCACGGTGCTCCTCTCGCGCTCACACAGCACGGCCAGTGCACAGCCGAACACCTGGTCTAGGGAAGAGGCTGGTCGGCGCCGCCCTGCCTGTGAGCCACCAGCGCCCCGCTCTCCGCGTCCCTCCGGTACCTTTGATGTAGCCCTTCTCCCGCAGCGACTGCATCGTGGGCCGCCTCAGCAGGAACTTGCGGAGCTTGTACCGGACCCTGCTCAAGTCGCTCTCCAGGCCCCCAGGGCCTGGGGCAGAGGCTGCTGCTGGCCACAGGGCAATGTGGAGCTGCGTCAGTCGGTGGCACTGGGATTGGCCGGGCAGGCCCCAGTGGGGTCATCACCCCCCAGTAGATGCCCTCCAGCCGGGTCACCCCTGTGCACACCTGCATGGGACCGGGCCTCATCCTCCCGCCAGCTTCCCAGGCGCTCCCTGGACCCGAAGTCGACACTGCTGTGCTCGCTTTCCTCCTCAGGGGGCAGATCTGCGGACTGGAATCAGGCAGCCTCAGAGAGGCAGAACCTGGGGCCAGCTGGCGTCCTTCTGGGATGGGGTGAGGAACCAGAACTGCCTTCCCTGCAGGCCTGGTGACCCCCAGGCAGAGTTCACTGTTCCTTGACCAGGATAACTCCCCTCACCTCCACCAGGGAAGCTCCAAACCTCCCTTGGCTGCATGGATCCCTTCAGGTGTTATCCCTGTCATCCTGTCCTCCCCCATGCTCTTATCCTGGTCACTTCTACATACCTCCTAGTTTCTGGCTCCCTTTCTCCACATTTTCCTCAGTTCCTCCATACACACTCTACTAGTTCAGTATTCCTCAGTATGTGGCTGACATCTGAGCAGTGGTCATTAGTGCACCAGCATCACCTTCCTAGATCTAGATTCCTACCTCTAGTAATATGGCCGCACACTGCACTCAGTGTTGGTCCTAAGAAATTAAGGGTCAAAAACCCCCAGTTGTCAGACGGGGCCTATCCTATTCCTACTTACGCAATTGGTATTTTGAACCTAAAAAATTGTAGACTCTTGAATCTAAACCTTTAAATTTTTATCTTCTAGTTTCAGCTTGTCCTTCCAACTTGAGGCTGTTTTTCAGATATTTACTTTTCTTCCTCCTTTGAAATGGGACATTCCTCTAGGATGTGCCCCAACCCCTACCTGGAAGGTGCTCCTGCAGGGCCAGCCCCAGAGGCTGGATTCATACACTTAAGAAAGGCTGTTCTTTATCTTACTACATGGATAGACGGTGACTGCAGTGGGGTGGGGTGGGGGGACTTGATAATATGGATGAATGTTGAAACCACAATGTTGTTTATGTGAAACCTTCATAAGATTGTATATCAATAATACCTTAATTTAAAGAAAAGAAAAGAAAAGAAAGGCTGTTTCTTCAGCAGCCCATCTGCCATACAGCCGCAGGGGAAACTGCGTCTGCAAGGATGGGCACTTATCCACCACTGCCCTGGCACTCCTGGAGCCTTAGTGCAGGGCCCCACCCACTGTGGGCACAGCTGCCCTGATAATGGCTGGCCTTCTCCTCCCCACCAGCCCTGAGACCCCAAGCTCTCCCTACCAGCTCCTGGATGCCCTGGCCAATGGCCTTGTGCCAGGTGCTGATGATGGCCTCTGAGTCATGCTGGATCAGGTACTCTGAGCCATCTCGGCTCCGCAGCTGCAAGGACACAAGTCAGTCAGTCATCTCGGGTTCCCTGGGTCTGCCCTGGGGCCAGGCCTCAGAGGCGGAGAGAGACAAGGAGGTGACCTCTCCCTGTCCCCAGGAACTCAGAGCCTAATGGAGCAAGGGCCTCACCCCAGGACAAAGTATTCCACCTCATAAAAAGCAGTAGGTGACGACATCCCTGTTACCAATGGTGTTCCAGATGGACAGGGCAAGCGGAGGCTCAGCAAGTTCAAGCAACTTGCTAGTGGACACACAACTAGTGAGAGAGAGAGCAAGGATCTGAGTGCGGCAGATCTGAATGATGCAACTGTCTGGTACACTTTCCCCTGCCCCAGATAGCCTTCCCAAGAACCACAGACTATGACAGGCCTCACCCAGAGTGCTGGCCAGCAAAACAGCCAATGGAAGAAATACCTGGTGGGAGGCCCCTGGTGGCTAGAATTAGCAGTGAAGAAAATGCTGGGAGGGAAGTTTGGAAAGCAGAGTGGGGCAGATCCCAGAGAAAACAAGCACCCCCGGCATTCCACACACGCACTGGGGAACCAGGAGTGTTGTTCCCCCTTTTGCAGCCATGAGACTATACCCTCTCCCACACTCTAGCCCAGGCAATGAGTCTCTCACCATCCACTTCATCAGGAAGTGAAAATTAAAACTCAAGGGGAGACTTTTGGCCACTTTCTGACTACTCAAAGCTCTTACTGACCAGCAAGTTGGGGTACCAACCCACTTACTCTTATTCACTCCAAGGAAATATTCACATGGTCTGTGAGCTGGAGGAAGCACCGCCCTGTAAGTTGGCTGGAGGCTCCATGCAGAACTCAGGCCATATTCTTCCTTAAGAAACCCTAAAGTCTGGGTTTCCAAAGCCACTATTTTGTAGTATTAAGGAGCAAGCAGATATCAACAGCCCAGGCTTCTTCATCCGGCTGCTGTTGTCCTTAGTCCCTAGCAAAGGCTCTGAAGAGCAGGGAGAGGTGGTCAGCAACTTGGGTAGATCTTTCATCAGCCTCTGGCTAGAGGACTGAGAATTCAAGGTTAATGTGAATGCTCCGTTGCGTGGCTCACACCAACGCTGCCCTTTGGGTCTAGTGAGAGTCAGACAACTAAATATAACGTCCAGAATCAGGGCTATCTTTTGGCTGTTCACCTTTTAAAACTAGACTTGAATGTTATTTAAACTGTTTTAAAAATTAAAAACAGAAAATGTAAAATTGCACATTCATCCCTATCCCTGCAAAGACAGAGAGCCTTCAGTGGAGAGAGAGCACAGCTCCTAAACTAAGCTAACAAGAGCCCTGCCTCTCTTATCCCAGAGAATGACCTAACAATGCTTCTAAAACAACCATTATCTTTGGCAGCTCTCTCAAAACATCAATTCATGTTTGACAGTTTCATTCAGAAGGCAAAGCTTTACAGTTACATAGCAATGTATCTCACAAAATATTCACCCTGTTGAATGCACAGCTGAGCCACCCCAGGCTTGCTCTTTTTGGAGGACTCTGGTGGGGGGGATTAGGAAGATCTGCTATGAAAAATTGCCAGGCCCAACTAGCCCAGCTGTGTTAGAGAATTTGGGGCTGTCTCTAGAGAAAAATCCTAGAGTTGCCTGTGGGCCACCCCGGAGTGGAGGGAGGGTGGTCATCTGCCAGCTGGGAAGCTGGTGGCTCCTCAATTTCCATTTAAGACTGACAGCCTTCCCATCAGCTTGAGAAGCTTCCAAGAGCGCCATCTGCCTTCCTGTCCTTGCCAAAAAAGACAACGCAGAAGTGTTTACTCTGAACTTTCATCAGAAGCCCAGTGAGAGAGGTGACATTCATAGATCACTGGTTGAGGGATGTCCCTCCAGGTCAAGAAAGGAACACACCTAGCAAAAGTAATGTCCCTCCTCGATCTGACCACCCATGGCAGACATTGCTAGTTGACGGTAACCCTCTGACCTGCTGAGCCTGGAGAAGGCTCCACACCAACTGATCAGAGCAGCTCATGAGATGAAACTGCTTTTCCACCTGCTCTGTGGATACTCTGGGTCTAGAACTGAATGAAGGTTGGTGGACCATCAGAAAACGACACCCTCAAGCTCCTTGCAGAACTGCCTTCTCTCAGCTGAGATGTGGGGTCCTGCTTCTTTCACCATGTTCCCCGAAGCAGCCCCAAGAGTCCCTTGCTAAGTGAGGAAGGAGATGCACACTGAAAATGCCTTCAAGAGCTAAGGATCAGCGAAAAGCTTTGGTTTCCCTCACAATCTGGCAGGTTTTTATTTTTCATTCATTTTTTATCAGGAAACCTGGGGCTAACTTTTTCCAGCAACAAGCACCCTTAGCACCTGAACTTAACTGCCCCTCTCCCACACTGACCTGCTTCTCTAACTCGTTGGCCTGATCCTGGCTCTGCAGTGGATTTTGTGTGTTTCATTGTGAGAAGCCTCACACTTTGTAGTAGTGGTAAGGATAAAAGTAGTTTAAAAACAAGACAACACTGGACAGTGAAGGGTGCGACACTGTGAGGTCCTCTCCTGGCCCCACCTGGCCTCTCTCTTCCCGCTGGGGGAGCCTGGGAAACGTGCCACTGCCCTGGTTTATCCACTGAGGACCAGTCCAGGTGGAAGCTGGGCTCTGGTCAGCTGGAGGTTTTCCAGCCTGGTAGAGTAAGTAGCCAGGCATGGGGAGTCTCCTGTCTGAGGCCGGAGCAGCTGGAGGAGGGCTTCTAGGTATCTACAGTTTTGTTCCCCAGGTACCCCCTACCCCTCCCCACCCTCCAGGGCCAAGGACTGGTGAACTCAGCTCCTGGAGAGCGGGCTGAAGAATCTGTGACAGTAGAAACACCATGGACGGATCCCTGAGGTGGAACCGCCTCAGCTTTGGGCCCGGAGAATTCCAACTCCACTCTCCCCAGCTCCTCCTTCCTGGGGCTTGCCTGGGAAGGTCCCAACCCAGTAGTAGGCTCCCTCTCCTCCTCCTGACCCACACTCTCACCTCTAGCACATTCTTCTTGCTGGATTTGTCTTTGGGGGCCCAGGCAAGAGAGGCCCCCCTCAGCTCCACTGTGTACTCAGGGATGGAGAGCTTGGAAGACTGCCTCTGTGGGAGAGGGGAGAAGGGTCAGGGGAAGCTCGGTTACCAGGAGCCCTCTGCTCAGACAGGCCTGCCTCAGCTCCCTGGCTCCAATACACCAGGCTCCTTCGGCTCCAGGATGGGGTCACAGCCTGGGGGAAGGGAGCCTGAGGGTTCCTGGAACCCAGAGATCCTGGTACTTTTAACCACCTAGCCTTGGAATGACTGGTCCTTTGCTGCCTACCCACCCAGGACAGGACAGGAGAAAGGAGGGCAGCCACTGTCCGTGCAGGGTGCCCAGTGCCCAGCCCGACCAGGCAGACCTCTAGGACTGCTTCCCATGGCCAAGGTGGCTGCAAGTGTCCTGGGGTGAATCTGCTGTCTGCACTCCCTGCCAAGGACCAGCTCCCTTGACACTCATGATAGCTAGATCAGGTAAGGACCCAAGGGAGTCAGAAGCAGATGGGAGGTTCTTGCCCTGGGGGCCTGGGCCTCACCAGGCCGCCTGCAGCTGAGGCCTTTGAGTCCTTGAAGAATGTCAGGATGCCACCTTCCAGCACAGTCCAGGAGGCACTCCAGTGCTTCTTCCTAGTGGGGGTGGGGAATTAGGGGTGTCAGGGCTTGGATCTGGCCCTGGGCTGAGGCCCCCCTCCCACTCCCATGAGTAGGGCACAGAATGCAGCTTGAGGCACCCAACTGTGAGGGTCAGAATCTCAACTCTGATACCAAGGAACCAAGAGACCACAGGTGAGTCACTTTATCCCTATACCTCAGTGTCCTCACAGGACCTCTTATAAGGTCCTATGAGAGTCACACAGGCTGGGCAAAGGGGAGGTGCTCAGTGAGCATTATCAGTAGGGCCCATGCTGCCCTGGCCTGGTGCACATGCACTCTCACCGGAGCCGCTTCCCCTTGTCCACTGTCTTGGTTCGATGGAGCACACCTGCCTTCTCCAAGGTCTTGATCTTGAAACGTGGAAAGAGGAGGCAGTTAAGACAGGTGGGAGGAGGGCCGAGGGAGAGCAGAGGCTAGTCTCTACCACAGCCAGCAGCAACCCACAGGCTGGGCCTGAGTCTCCACTGAACCCTCTTTGCTGCCGATGGTGGCTGGTACCTGCTCCCATGGCAACAGGACAGATTTCCTCCCAGCTCCCAACCTCACCCAACTCTGGGCCTGGGATGACCCAGACCCAGGTTCATTCAGCCCAGGCTAGGGCTGGGCCTATGGGGGAGGCACGCCCAAGCCAGTCTCAGGACCTCCAGGAACCTGCCATTTCTTCTAGGGAGGTCCTGTCAGGGCCCTATGCCCCTACCCTTACCTTCTCAGGGGGGCTGGCCTGGGCTGGGGTCTCACTGTCCTGGTTGTGAGACTTGCGGAAGCTTCGAGGGGCAGGGATGGGGATCTGGGGAGAAAAACACTGTCATATAATCCCCCTTCTCTCCCCAGGACTCTCCCTTCCCCATTTGGTTACCTGGGGCAGCTCCCACTGAACCAAGTCCTCATCAGGTTTGTAGAAGTAGGGCTTTCCGTTTTGGTCCTCCAACCTCACCCACTGTGGGGAGAGGGGTGGTCAGGGCTCCGCCCGCCTCATGAGAGGAAAAGCTTCCTTCTAACTAGAACCCAGCATAACCCCAAGGGGCTTGGAGGGGCAGGTGCAGTGACTGCGGTGTCTTGGGTTGGCTTGGAGCCCCCCTGGAGCTGCAGTTGAGAGAGTTAAGGGGAGCTACTATTGAAGAAAGGGTGAGGCAACGGCCCCGGGGTTTGTCTGGGCCTATCTGCCCGCTGCCACTACCTGCTCTTGGGTGAAGTGGTTGGTGTACAGCGTCTGCCCTTCTGGGTCTACATGGCAAGACCACCCGGGGGGCGTGGCCAAGGGAGAGGCGGGCCCCGGCTCACTTAAGGAGCCCACGGGGGAGTAGTCCTCCTCGGGGTAACTGCTCAGCAACTCCGGGTAGTCGGTCTCGGGGGTGGGGGGCTGCAGAAAGCAAAAGAAAGACTCAGAGGGTCTTGGGGCCTCTGCTGACCCCTGGCCCCGCCCCTCAGGGCAGTCTCGCGGCCGTGGGGAGCCGGGGGCGGGGTCAGAGGCCTTCCAAGCCGGCCCCACCCATCCCGGCCGGCCCCGCCCCTCACCCTCTGGTCACTGGGGCTGCAGGGGCTCAGGCCCGGCTGCATCTCCAGCTGGTCCTCAGGCTCGTCCTCCCAGACAGTCTCGCCCGTCAGCGGGTTGTAGAAGAACACCTTGCGACTGTCCTCATCCCAGTACTGGCCCCACTCGGTCTCGAAGCTCTCGCGGCTGTCTACTGAGGCCGGGGAGGTGGCCGGGCTGGAGGCGCCCTCGGCAGCCTCGAAGGGCGACTCCCAGGTCGTCACGCCCGTGTCTGGATTGTAGTAGTAGGGGCGCCCGGTGTCGGCGTCCGTGTGCGTCTCCCACAGCGGGCCAGGGCCGGGGGGCGCGGCGGCGGCGGGCGAGGTGGCCAGGGGCTGCCTCTCTACGTTAGCGTACACGGGCTCCGGGGGGTCGTCCCGCTGCAGGAGGAGGAGGACGTGGCCTTCAGGGCAGCCCCGGGGTCACGAGGTTCCCACTCGGGCACTTGCCACCTGGGCAACCCTCAGCAAGTCACAGAACCTCCGTGCCTCAGTTCCCCTGGCTGCCGGGTCCAGAAATTGTAGTGAAGGGAGAATGAGCAAATGTCCTTGCAAGTGTTTGTAAATTGTCCGGAGGGGTGGGGCAATTACATTAATTATTAACAATAATAAAATATCAGTAACCGAGTTCTCCCAGCTGTACACTAACAGGGGCAAATCAAAGGATAGGCAGGAATAGCGCAGTGGCCTGGGAGCCATCCCTTCCCCAGCCCCACTCAGCCCTGCGTCGTCCCACGGCCTCCACCCTGCCTTCCTTCCTAAGGAAGCTCTGGGACCGCCGTCAGGAGCCTCTGGATTTGGGGCTGAACTTCCAGGACGTGGGGTTGGCAGGCCTCAGGATTCATTCCAGGCAAGGGAAAGAGAGGAGAGCCGGACGGGGGCCAGGAAGGAGGGGGAAAGGAAGGGGAGCTCCCCTCGCCCCTCTGCAGGGAAGGGAGGCAGCAGCAGGGTTCAGTCACACAGACGGAAACCATGGTCAGGCTCAGCACCCTCACGGCTCCCTGCCTCTGGGGCAAAGTCTAAGCCTTTCACAGGCACCCGAGGCCTTCCATCCCTGCCTGCCTTCCACCTTACTTCCTGCCACTCCCTGTCCTTGCCTTGAACTTTAAGCTCCGGTAGCACCACGTTGCTGGAGGCCCCACCCTCTCTGTGGCTTCCTCAGGCCTCGGCCCCCTGCAGTCAGCCCCCGCCCATCCCCACCCCTTTCTCACTTGGGCGCCTCCTATTCCTTCTTTAGGACTCAGCTCAGGTGTCAGGTTCAAGACCTTTCCTAAGATTTCTCCTGTGTGCCCACCACAGCCTAGCACCCTCAGCCCACCAGAGGGATAAATAACCATATTACCAAACCCCAGGCAGCAGGAGATTAATACTGTTTTTTAAGAATACAGAGTGTTAGAAGAGAAAAGCAGATTTCAGATGGTAAATTTTGCGTAATTACAATTTTGTTTTTAGAAACTCCAAAATGTGAACAGAGGTCATCTCTGGGCAGGGTAATTATAGAGATTGGATTTGTTTTTGTTTAGATTTTGTCTTTAAACTTTTTTGCAGCCTCAAAATTTTGTGCAATAAACCTTTTTTTTTTAAATCATAGTAGTTCCTCTATTGCTGGGACACCTTCGGACACCTTCACTAAGCTGCAAATTCCTCAAGAGGGGAAGCATGTCCTCTCAAGAAGGCCTCTCCTGGCCTTTACTTAGGCAGGCACATTAAAAAAAATTCATTTGTCCAACAAAGATTCACCTGCTCTGTGCCAGGCACCGTTCTGGGAATGTAGCAGTGGACAAATGGACACAGATCCCTCCCTGGCAGCCTGCCCGTGGGTGTATTTGGTGGGGAAGAGGGGAGCAGACAAGCCAGGTGGTAAGTGAAGGGCACTGTATGTCAATGGTGATCACGGCTTACAAGAAAAAAACGCTGCACAAGAAGGGGGTGATGTAGTTTCAGACAAGGCAGGTCCCAGGTGTGCAGGAGACAGGAAGGGCTGGATACTCCAGCCAGCTGTTCCTCACTCCTCTGCCTCACCCCACAAGCTCCTGTGTGGCTGAAATAGGACTCTCCACCCACTTTTCCTCTCTCCACATCCATCACAGCCCTCCTGTGGCATCCTGTATTCTAGCCACACCAGCCCACTGACCCTCCCCAAAAACAAAGGCATTCTCCTATCTTTGTGCCTTTGCTCTGGCTGTTCCCTCACCCTGGAACCCCCTGCTGCCATTCCCTGCCTACCCAAACCTGCTCCTCCAGCGTGTCAGCCGCACCTGGGAGACGCCTCCTCCCTGTGGGGAGAAGTCTAACCAGCTGGTACTGCTCATCGCTCTCTGAGGGCCCTGTGGCATTCTGCCTTGGTGGTCGTCAGGTCATTGTTCACCCACCTGCCTACCTTCTCTGACCCCAAAAGGCGGGAGTTTCTTGAGAGCAAGCCCGAGGATGACGTGCTCCCCAGCAGGCAGCCCAAGGGCCTGAAGCACACAGCCAATCCACCAAAAGCACTCTCAGCTTGAGTCTAGAAGTCAGTTCCAGGACAGACCTCAGTACCCAACAAAACAAACACACTTGACACTACAGGAGAGATTGGGGTTAGCTCAGAGCAAGGACTACCTGAAAATGAGGGCTCAAGCGCAGAAACAAGGCTTCTGGAAGGTGGAGGAAGATGGGTGATCAGACACGCTTCCTGCCACCCTAGCTGGACCCACTGAGGCAGTGGCCTTGCCCATTTGTGGGACAGGGGCTGGAAGGTCACATAGGGCCTAGGAGCTAAGGAAGGAACCAGGCTCTTTGGAGAAGAGATTTCCACCTGGCCAGCTGCTGGCCTTGGCTCTGAGTCCCTGGGGAGTCCCCAGCTGGTCGGGCTGATGGAGATCTCACACTAGGAACACCCCTGGCAGGTATGGAGGAGATCTGGGAGGTAGAACTTTAGGCCCCCACTATGACAGGGCTGTCGCAGATAGAGAAGATGCAGAATCAGAGGCCAAATTGGGACAGGGGAGTGCTCCTCTGAAGGAAGCACATTCATTCTAAGGATTGGGGCTGCCCCAGAGACACAGGTTGCTTCAGGAGGTAGTAAGGGGCCTTCACTGGAGGTGAGCAAGCAAGAGTTCAACTCTCTGTTAGGGATGCTGTGCCCCTGAGGCCCCTTCAAACTCTGTAAGTCTCTGCAGAGGCTCTGCAGTGCTAAGACCGAGGCGCTTTCCTCTCCTGCCAGAGCCTTGGCCAGAATCAGACTGGCTCCTGGAAGGCAGATGGGGCCAGTCCCTCCATGCCCTTTGGCCTTCAAGAAGGAGCTCACCCAGGTTACATAGGGTCTGACACCCCCACCCTGAACTCCTGGAGGCCCAGATGAGACCCAGATGCAGCCCATCAACAGGGGATTAACTAGCGTACCAGGGCTTGGGTCCAGACCCCAATCATAGAAATAGAGACAGAGGACTCCCAGTGGGAAAGAGAAAGTGGTCTCCTACCTCAGACCAGACGACAGAGCCAAGAGGGGCCCCGGCTCTCATCATGCCCAGCTGCTCGGCCCCCCAGTGCTCCTCTTGTGTCCAATGCCCTCCCCTCACCCACATGCACGTGACAGGCCTGCCTCTCCTCCCCCAAGCAGATCACCATGGCTCAGCATCCCTGCACAGCCCCTGTCAGAGGGGCAAGGCTGTGGAGAAGGAAAGAGGAGAGAAGAAAGGAGCCCGCAACCTCTGAGATCCCCTGCTCCAGGCCCCAGTTTACCTACCTCCAGGATGAGCCTACCTGACAGGGCCAGAGGAGGGAGGCCCATTGGAGGCGCCTGACTACATAGGCCCCTCCACCCTCCCCGTCAGAGTCTGAGCTCACACCCCCAATGCTAGGGTCCCCTACCTGTCCCCGCAGGGCCTGACTCGGCCTCCTGGTCAGCTTGGCAATCATGTCCACCATCCTGTACTCTCTGTGCTGCTGGGACGGAGCCCTGGGAAAGTTTTGGGGGTGGAGCCAAGGGGCACAACCCCAGGGCTGGCACAGGGCAGCAGGGAAACAAGAAGTTGCCTTGAGATGGCGGGAGGCTGAGCCTCCAGCCCATTTCCTGTTAGTACCGCGGAAGTGCTGCCTGAGGATGGGGGCTGGGGGCTGTTGCAGATTGGGAGCATTGTTATGTGTCCAGGCACACACTGGCCAACCTTCTCAGTGTTCTGATTACCGGCAAGTCTTGACTTTCAGCGCCAGTCGCAGCTGAGGAGCAGGCTCCACAGACGACAGCCCTGCTGCCACAGCGGGGAGGGCTGGGCGGCACAGACAGGGGCAGGCAGGGGGCAGCTGGGTGCTGCGGTGGGACAATGAGTGGCCATCGGCTCCCCAGAGGCCCAGGGAGGATGTGATGAGAAAGAGGAAGCTTGTGTATTGGGGGTGTCTCAAAGAGGAAGGGGTCTAGGCACCCTCCAGCCACGCGGAGGACAGGAGGGATTCTGACCATGCCACCATCTACCCGCCTGATTGCCTGAGTTGACCTCCTTCAGTTTCGGTCACTGAGATGCATGCACACACCCCCACCTGCATGTCCACATACATGCACGAGTGTGCTCATGCCCTGCCCCCACTCTCCAAGGCTCCAGAGAAGGAGGACAGGGACCAGTTCCCCTCACATCCAACCTTAAGAGTTTCCTCCTGGCCTCTCCTCTCTCCATCCCCTCAGGCAGGTGTTCAGGCCCTGGCCATGCACAATGGACACAGCATATCCAGTGTGAGAAGCTGCAGCCCCTGCCCTACGCCCTTGGAGCCCACCATGTCTCACTCAACCCCTTACAGGCCCTTCCTCGCCAGTACCTTGCCCACCCACCCACCAGCCAAGGCTCTCCCACAGTGGCTGCCCCACGCCCAGTTCAGGCTCCAACCCCCACCCTCCCATGCTGGATCCCAGAGCCCTCATCTCCCACTCCTCCTGCCCCCAGGCCTGGCTCTCCTTTCTCCCCTGCCCATGCCCCCCAGGCCTCTCCTCTGCCCCCACTGTGGGCTCAGCATGGGGACACCCAAGTAGAGCCAGATAAGGTGTTGGGTTGGGGTGTGGGACACTTGGGAAGCCCACACCCAGAGCAAGTCTGGGACTCATGTCCTGCTCTGCCCTCAAAAGCTCTAGTATCACTTCCCCATCACTCCCTGGGCCCCAACTCAGAAGCCCAAAACCCCATGGGCAGACTGGTTCCCCAGAGAGGTGTGGAGTCCTCCCACCTGTCACACACATGTCACATAACACTGCCCCCACCCTGAGGACCCCCCACACACACACACCACACACCACACCACAGGTTACCAAGAGAGATGAGGCCCAGCCAAGGAGATGAGAACAGCCTCTGTAAATTCCAGAGCAGCCAGAAACTGAGCCATCAGGAAGGAACTGGGTGTCGGGTGGGGGGAGAGAG